TCTAGTGCGCTTTGTGGGATAGACCGACTGATAGATTGAATTTAAATATTGGCAATATGAACGTTATTTTACAACGATAAAACTAAAGTAATGTTACAGTATACCATGTAGGTTTTCAAGAACGATAAAATGCAACCCTATTACGTTATTGGCGGTTACAAATTTTAAGTATTGCCAATACATTGAGTTTTAAATATTTTTATTATATTGTAATATAGGTATATTTAATTTGAATGACCAGGTGCGGTAAGTGACTTTACAGCACTTCACTTTTTATTTGCATTAGGCGATTACAATGTATCGACGGTTCAAAACCACACAATAATCCCTACACTGGGTAGTACAAGGTAAATTCACTGTTAAAAGTTCATGTGCGTTAACATCCTATCAACTGTGTGAATACAAGCTAAACAATAGTTAACAACAATTGTAACGGTTTAAAATAAGCTGATTTCTGGCTCCTAGTTTGATGTCAACTTTATTTACCTTCGCGTATGGCGTTAAATTACATCACTTATCTTATGAGAATACATTTACTATTTGGTTGGTGCAATTTTGTGCAGTTGTTGTACCATACATATTTTAACATAACCAGTTAAAAGCAGTGTATTTAGATGAAAACACTTGATACGGATTGTGACCTACAATGGCATTAAATCTTTACTAAAATGTTCAAGGTAAAACTTTACAAAGTATCAGAACGGATTATCTAAACATAAAATGAGGTGTAAAATCACAAACTCTACTGAGAGACAGAGACAGTGTGTGATAAAATGTTACGATCACAGGGACTCCTTTAGTATTCCATTGTGTTTGTGGAGGTAACTCTCTTTAATACATCATAGATAACAGCTACTTATCAGTGACGCTGAGCATGTGTTGAGGTACGTACCTGCGTAAACACCCTTATCACTATAAACATAATGCCCCGTTGTGTGTAAAGTGAGCAGGTAATCGTAGTGTAAAATGTGTTCGTGACGTAGGCATTGTGATCATATGTTCGCATGAAACACATGTTCAATGACGTAAGTTGTAGCATTGACTGAAGAGTTTGAAGTAAACGAAAAATCTATATTTCGCAGTTGAAGCCAGTTTTTACTCAATAGCAACATTAATTTATTGGTGAGAGTTGAATTTTACTATTGAAGTTCTTTTCTATTATAGTTTGTCATTCTATGATAGTTAACGGGGTCATAACAGATGGTTTCGTTTCAAAAATTTTCCCTCTCAGTTGTTATGGTTTAAAAGGTTGAATTTAGGTGTTAGATGGTAACAAGACCCGGGGATATCAAGGCCAGTTCTTTGAATGTTTTCTCACAAAAACACCTGTGAAACTGCTGATGACACGGATAAACACGAATAGTAATTTACCTCAGCAACTTTGTGTGTAGTTCACTTCGCCTATTATTTTAAAACTGTCAAGAGCTTGTAAGTGGAAATGAAAGTTTTGTTTTACTGTATAGTAACTATAGGCAAAACCTCCATTGAACTAACAATAAAGTAGTTTTAAGTTATATCCATTTTAATTGACCAAGACTTAAAAACCTAATGTAGGCTATATTAAACAAAGCAGAATGAAATAAGCAAAAGATTAATGGGTTCAGTTGAGCCAATTTATTTTTATTGTAAAACAGGTAAAACTGACAGAATCCTTTACAAAGAAATTAAATTTTTACTATTCGGTAAACTATCCATAGTCAAAACATTGCTAGGTTTGGCACTAGGACTATACCATAACGGTTTAGACAACGAATTTGTTACCTTTACAGGATTGATAGAGTTTTAAAAGAGGGACAAAACATATATGTCAAAATAATTCATGAAATTTATCATGGGCTGTAAACTAGTTTCAATAGTTTACACCCAAAGTTGATATAAAGATTCTTTTTACCTTCTCACTCCATTGTACAAAGTAAATAGAATATTGAAGAGTTTTGCGATCGTAACACTTTATGGCTCATTTGCTCTCACTGAACTTCAGTTCTGATTTTATGCCACGTTTTATGTCTAGGCACTTCGTTCTGATGTTTCCCACTATCTCACAACGTGTTTTGTGAGATTATTCTATGTCAATGCCGAGTAACAATGTGTTACGTAATTAGTCAATTTAACTTCTTTCATCTAAGTTAGGGTAGTGGATCACTTTACTAAAATAATTACAAGTATATAACACACTCGTTTAAATAATATTTCGTTATCGAAACTAAAATAACTGATTGTTGGTTCATTTTATTACTAATTTTTCTCTGTTTGTGATTCAGGTATATAATTAGTTTTTCTTTATGATTTGCTAATAAGTAGTATGTGTGTGTATTTCGAGTAGAAAAAATATGTGTCATTTGATTGAAGATGCACTCGTATTACTGACAAATTCATCGCAACAAAGTTAACGAGAAGAACATATACAGGGTGGTAAAAAAGTCCCTGGACAGTTAAATATTAAAAGAAATAATGCAGATAGAGCTACAATACTTGGTACAAAGTTACAGGGCATAAAACTATATTTTAACACATATTCAGTGATCCAATAACTTTTCAGGGGGACGGCCCACAAGGAGTCGGAAGAAAATCTTAAATGGAAGCATAGGTCAATATGCACATCAAATTAAAGGTCTTCTTTAGTAGAATACAATGCCGCAAACCGCACTTCAAAAGGTTGATCCTGCGCAAAATGGCAGATGTTCAAAGATTTCTTGAATCCGCCATTTTGAATCTTTGAACGACTGCCATTTTTTACTCAGGCATTCTTTTGAGCTTGAATTTACGGCATCGTAATCTACTAGTGAAGACCTTTAATTTGATGTGCATATCGACCTATGCTTACGTTAACAATTTTCTTCCGATTCCTAGGGCTGTGCCCCCTGAGGATAAAGCGTATAATAGCAATGTAAATTAAATGAATCTTTGAACAACTGTCATTTTGTGCAGGGTCAACCTTTTGAAGTGCAGTTTGTGGCATTGTATTCTACTAAAAAAGACCTTTAATTTGATGTGCATATTGACCTATGCTTCCATTTAAGATTTTCTTCCGACTCCTTGTGGGCCGTCCCTCTGAAGAGTTATTGGATCACTGAATATGTGTTAAAATAGAGTTTTATGCCCTGTAACTTTGTACCAAGTATTGTAGCTCTATCTGCATTATTTTTTAAAATATTTAACTGTCCAGGGACTTTTTTACCACCCTGTATAATAACATTAAAGGATACAATGGAAAAAGTTATAAATAAATAGTAAGTTAAAAATGAAAGTAGAAATAATGTTTTAAAATCATAAAAGGGAAATAAGGTTAAAGATAACAATTACAGAAATTGTTTTATATTGATCAAAGACGCTAGCTATGGTAGGTTATTTCTGTATTAATGTGATGAAACATTGCAGAGTACTGTACATCGTTGAACAAGTAAACAAGACAGGTGTTACCAATGTCACCACACAGCTGACTTACAGCTGGAAAATGACGTAATGTTGACTGTGGCAAATACAAGCTCATGCACCAGGCAAACTGCGGAATAAAATGTCGTTTAGTCTCAAATTAAAATGCATAAAAGACTGCTTGATTACCATAGAAACGATATGAGTTTAATTTTACATACAAAATGTAGTGTATTAGTTTTTAATGTAGTAAAAGAGAGCAATAGAGCTTTTAAAACTCTTTGTTGCTTAAAGTAAAACTCAATTCATTGATATTATTCCTGTCAGTTCTTCTTATGTTTTGTAAGAATATTCAGTAATATAGTACGTGTTTCTTTTTTTTTATCTCGGATACATAATAATGTAAATATATTGGAATATGATGTTTATGAACAGTTTTTTTTTTTTTTTTTTTTTTTTTTTTTTTTTTTTTTTTACCTAAAGTAGAATGAAATCAACAAATACAAAATAATAAAACGCTGACAATAGAGAGTGGAGTTGGCTATGAGCTCAACCCGTATGGATACTGTTACCATAGACTAATATAAGAAGAATTTGTTACTTAGCTGTGCTATTACAATTACACAACACGGTCAAGACTATTAATACGAGATGATGGTATGAATACAATAAGCACCCTGAAAATAACCATTTGTTATCAGCTGGTTCTTTTACAGTGAAAACCATCTATCTAATCTCCTTGAAACTGTGGGGAATTGTTCTACACATACCAAGGGAGATTCATAAACAATTCCCTATATGAAAACCTGTTAAAGCTCTTTCCTCCTTTTAAGTTACATGCTAGGCTTATATGACTTTACAAGTTAATATCTGTAAGAAAACTGTGTTTGCATTCGCTACTTTCGTAAAATGGTCTTTCCTTGACACAATCACACAGCTGATTGAGAATTTATTTTGCAACAATGTGTGATTAACTAAGCTATTGACTTTCAAAAATACATAAATTCCATGACCATTTTGTAAAAATTAATGTTTTATCAGCGTTATAAGACTTTCAAGATTGTATATACATACACCATTATAAACCACGAGTAGAACTGTTTTACAAGTTGGAGTAATTAGATTAACCTTGACAATTCATGTCCTAGCTGTTAGTCAGATGTTATGTGACATTGCTAACACCTGTTTTGTTTACACAAGTAACTAGGTTACAGCAGAATATCTCTGCCGTATTTCACTAGTTATTTTATAATTGGGAAAGTACACAAGGTATTCTATAGTAAAAACGCGTAAATAATAATCTAAAGTCAAATACCCTGTTATAAAGTTTTCACAAGATAGTTACACACGATCAACAGATTACGAAATTAAGTGACGTATGAGAAATCAAGTTCGACGACATAAGTATGCGGGAAACTTGCAGAATTTACTTATCAAAATACGAAAGAAGTTACTACTAACAGTATCAGTCGACTTACGACTTATAATATTCAGTTGATGTGTTAACACTCTGACTAGTACAGGAGTGACAAAAATATTTTTGACTTAACTGACTCGACACTAAAATGTTTTGATAAACACATCACTACATCCAACCAGATGGAATGGTTTGTTGTTGTTGTACTCACCATGTTGGGGGTGTTCGGCGTCAGTGAGGTCGGTAGGCGAGGGCTCCCTTACACAGGACATGAGCCCCAGCCCTCCCGAGCCTTCCGCCTTGGACACCGCCATCCCGGCACCTGCAACACATAGGAAACAGGGTTAATATGGCAATGACATTGCATAACGTACCACTATCTCAATTATCTTTTGTTGATTTGTGGAAAGATATTACCAAAACAGAGACAGTCCTCCTGGCCTTAAAGATCTATCCGTTTCTTGATAATCGTTGTCTACTGGGTTGGACCGTGTTGCCGATCTGCAAGTAAGTACGCGCTTCTTATGTTTAGAATAATTTGAATTGAACTACCACCAATGACAAGTAAATATGTGATTTACAAATACAAATATTTTAGAGTTAAATGTTAGCTTTTAGTCCCACCTCTCTAATCTGAAAATGGACTTCTCTAATTAAGGATGTGGACTTTCACGTTCACACAAGACGTACAGTGGGACCGTGTTATGGAACTGACGATAGGGAGATGATGCAGTTTCCTTATCGTCAGGTCGTCAATCTAACAAAAGCCCCTACACTTACTCCTTAACTATTAATTCCCTTCACTTGACAAAACTGTGATACCTCCGAAACATCGAACATTAATCATATCTCGGTGTCACGGTCCATCCCGTAAGACTAGTATACTCACATACTGTATATCTCCCAAGAACGACCGTGGAAGTATATATGTTTCCATCATTTTTTTGAAGAGACATGGGCCATCAGTTTAAATTAAGAACCTCCAAACGTATTGGTAAAACACATATTTTAATTGGCGGGATTCCTACCCAAGGGCTTCGAGAAAGAAGTCCCGCGATCTTACCTGCTGCGGAAAAAACTACTATTAAAGAAACCACATTAGAATATTTCGTTCACCCTAAGTTATTACTACTCAATGCCAATAAAATAAATAAATTGTGTTGTAATGAATTATTATTTCATATTTACCACAGTTACGAGTTCAACTTTTCGGAACTTAAAACTGCATTATATAAGGGACAAACTCTGTGATACATAGGATACTGTATTGAGACTAACATGTAAATAATTCATTTCCAAACGAAAATACAAAAATAATTATTTTTATCCAGATATGAGGGTTAAATTATAACCTTAATTGTTACCGTAAAAGCGGATTAAAGTCCACTTTACTAACTATTATACATTCTCCCATACCAACAACAAATTGTTTTAAGTAGTAACCAACTACTCTGTCCCCTTGATCCAAAAAAGTGGTGTTCAAAATAATAAAGCCCTTTAAATTCTGAAAAAAATTGTTGAGCACACATCGGCTCAATAGTTATTGCAACTTGTGTCAATTTTCAATAAAAACCAATAGAATAACATTTAAACACGATTTAAAAACACCGCTTGAGAAACTCAGACGCACTTCTTTTTAATGTGAAAAATCAGCTCAAAATCTGGGAAAAATACTCCTCATGAAATCTTGTTTGTCACAAAGCATTAATCCGTCAGCAAAGCAAAGAATTAAATAACCTTTTGAAGACAAATCAGATTTATTACCGACAAAGAACGCTTTTAAACTGAACAGAAGTAGGTTAACGCGATGAAAGAGCCGCTTAACGTTAGCTACAAAGAGAGGGAAGGTAATGTAGGGGTGGTAGGGGGGCCTTGGCCATGGACCACAGCATTGATCGACGCAACAGGCTCTCTCTGTCGTCCTCCTCACCAAACACCGGGTTGTACCCTCAGCCCAAGGTCGTGGAACAAAGCTTTGTATACTGACCTAACACATCCGACTGAAAACGCCTTCTATATGTAATCAATAGATCTAACTTATACTACACTTTTTGTATGAACACTTTTAGTGGATTTCCTATGTGGGGTAGTTATTGCGGTAGGTCTCTTGGTAACAGACCCTGGACCGCTTTAATTTTTCATTTTGATCTTTTAAGAGGCTAAAACATCGTTCAAATCGATTGGCAAGTGTCCGTTAGCACATGAATCGCGTAAAATAATTTACTTTTTATAAAATTTTGTACAAAAGTGTAAACCTACGTATATTCAAACGTGTTACCGGCATGATGCTATGAGAACAGTGTTTTACGAGGTAAAAATGTGCTTCTCATAACATGTGGCTATTCCTTTTAACACCATTTTTGTAAAGTTTAAAAACAATTAATTTAATATTATTAAAAGGCGTTATTGTGTGTTTAATGGTTGAGTAAAAATAAAACTGGTATCTTTACTTTCCCTGGAACAGCAAACTTAAATACGCAAATAACCTAATATTATTTGTATAGGTTTGTAATTAGAAATTCTTCTGTAGGTCTGCTGCGGTGGCGGGTATTTTGTTTTAGTTTTTTAGAATGTCATTTAGTGATGGTATTGATTCAACAGCAAAGACGATTGGTTCAATATCACAAATTTACCATTCGGTGTATACGAAAACCTGTACTTTACAAGTGACTTTACCTTAGTGTAAAATGTCTCCGGTTTGTTATACGTCACTGGTGGATCAGAATTTTTATATTGATTACACAACGAGGGGGGGTTATGAGTAGTTTAAAACTTAATGTGGTCAAATTCAGGGAAATAGATTTACTTATTGTGCTTTACTTAGACGATTATTTTCTATTAACTTAACCTTACATGAGGAAGATGTTTTGTTGGGTTGGTTATTAAAATAATGGCAATTTATCCATCATCTATCATCTATAAATATGACAAATGGCGCAGTCGCACGCAGTATTACATACTTTATTAGAATATATATATATATCATGTGTAGAATTTTAATTTTATTCACAATTAATTCACAATTTTACTAAAACTTAAACGAGATTCTGGGAACAGAACAAACTAGAGTGGTGTGTGTAAGGGTTGGAGATGAGAATGACTCACTGGACGAAACGAATGGGAGGAATTCCCAGTGACTACCAGACGACAAACACTTCACTATTTTGCAAATATCTATGGCTGTCGGGATAAAACATTATGGCTTCTCCCAGATAGTGGGATAAAAGATTAATTGAAAATATAAACTATAAAATCGAAAATAGTAATAAATAAGCGTATAGTAATAGTTACGAACCAGATTTGATTAGAAATGTCTGTGGCCAAGTTGGCTTTACAAATTCTACAAACTTAAATAAAAAAATAAAGGATTTTTGAAACGTAGAAGTTACTCTTAGAAAGCTAATTAAGATATTCAGCGCTGCTTCTGTGTTCTGTCTGTGTTGAAGATTCGATCTTACTATCGGAAACGTATCCAATATCATCCTATTTGAACCACTATCTGGGTTTCTTCTACACAATCACTTGACTGGTCCGGGACCCATTCCTATACAGCTTTACAAGAGTAGCACTTGTGCACCCAAACACAGAGCCAACTTCTCACAGGGGAGCTGCTTTCCGCATACTCCTGTTGCTGGATCGGAAATGTTTCTACGAACATGAATCTCAGATCGTAAGTGGAAAGAGTTAGTTTGTGTTTATCGATTAAGCCTCAAGTATGAACAACTTATGTAAAAAAAATGGATGTACAGAAAAAAATTTTATTTACCTTTTGTTTACAGCTCAATAAGTTTTAACTTCCGTTACGGCCGTTTCGGCATTAACATGTAATCATCATACGTCTTCGGCTGAAGCAGCGTCGTCACAGTTGAAACACATAACACGAACACGGACACATTTTACGAATACAAATATACGAAAATAAAACTAACAGGCCTGTCGCACACACGTTACTGGTTGACATGATCAGAGCTCGGATGCCGATCAAATCATGTCATGAGCTCTGATCATGTCAACCAGTAACGTGTGTGCGACAGGCCTGTTAGTTTTATTTTCGTATATTTGTATTCGTAAAATGTGTCCGTGTTCGTGTTATGTGTTTCAACTGTGACGACGCTGCTTCAGCCGAAGACGTATGATGATTACATGTTCAAAAGGTAAATGATGATGTTGATGATGTGACAAAAGGTAAATACAATTTTTTACTTACATCACAGCTCAGGGGCTAAAAATATGGATTTTTTTACGGATGTACAGTATTTACATCTTACCATGAAATTCCTGGAACACGAACAAATCAGCTTCTCCACTTCCCTAACTCTCGTTGTAGTAGTGTATAGGGTAATGTGTAGTGTGTAGTTTGTTAACTATTAATTGATGAACAACTAGAACGGAACCCCGGTCCACTTATATGTTGTTTGCTCAACAAACACACTGCCTCAATGAGTTTGAGTTCTAGTCATGCGGAAAACTCTGAAAACTCATCACCTCGTTAACGCTCCGAGGAATTCGCACGTTTACAACACAACAGAGGAAAGTCGATGGGCAAATAACAAAATTGCTGTATAATCACAACCTAAAAGACTTTGAGCCTCTAATGTTTCTTAAGAATAATCTCATCACAAATCATCACTGAAATACTAACGTTTTCTTTGGAAAGTAGATACCCCATTATGAGGACCAGATTTTACCTTTTTAAAACTTAAGGTATATGTGGTTGGCTGAGCTTTTCAACACGCGCTAATCTTTTAGCGTGCTATGTAAACTACTGAAGTTCTTTTAATCTCATGATGTTGATAAAGAATCATATGCGGGATAATACTCTAGTGCCTCAACAGTTCACAACTAATTTTATCGTAAAATTTGTTATTTTGTCTAACTTGCGGTAGGGTCTATAATCTATCATATACTGTGAATGAATTTACAGAAAACATAGATTAGATCCCCGCATTCGATTCAAACATGATTTCACTTGTTTATGTAAATTAAATGAATCATGTGGTGAGTCAGAATTGGTTATTATTCACACAAAAATGCTTTCTTGTATGAAACTTGTATTTCATCATTGTCTGGTTTTGTGTTTTAAAAGAGTATAAATGGTATTTATTTGTTTCTACAAATTGGCAAGAATCTCATATGGCTGATAGAAGCTTTTCACAGTGTTATCCATTTACCTGTTTTTACCCAACAAGATTATTCCATTTTTTTATTAGATATTTCAACATACAGGGGTTGTCCCTTATTTAAGGACAATATAATTCTGCCTTTCATATTTGGTTTACACGCCGTTAATTTAAGTTTTAAGTGAAATAGAATATGTCTCAACACTGTTGTCTATGCAAACTGAAAATAACGCAAAATGTATGTTCCAGGGTCAGTAGATTTAAATTGACTACCTATAGATATATTAGTTTGTTTTTAAACTCTTAAGTAATCAAAGTGTTAGTAACACTTAAGACAAACTCTCGCAGGCAAGTTAACACCACGCTGACTACATTACTGCACACCAAGTTTCCTAGAACTCCTCAGGGAGGTGTCAAGATGCCAGATAGTGTTGGACGTAGCGGTGGGAAGGTTAGAGGTTGGATGGTTGTGAGAGATAGGGGGGAAGAACTCTGATATCGGAGGAGCACAGCAAATAATGGAGCAGAACTTCCTTCTCGGAAGTGTTTAAACTTAAACAACCACCAACTTTTCCAAACTTTGCCAACTGTACGTCACTCCAGCTCCATTTCAGTTTTATGGAATATTTAAAGGGATAAAATTAGTTTTCAAATATTTTAATGCTTTCAAATTACGGTCTGTTTTGTATTGTGTGCTGTTTTATTTTGAAAAGAGTACTTGTTTGAATAATGTTTTATCGCATTAGCAAACACACATGTAAACAAATTTATTAGTTAATATTATGAAATTGCTTAAAGCTTTTTTATAATTTCTTGTACCGTACATACATTTTATTAAGTAGATTACGACCAATGCGAAGTACCGAAGTGTTTAACACTATATAATACGCTGGTGCAAACGACATTACTTTGAAGATCGGTTCGATTATAGTAATTTACAGTAGTTGAGTTTAAATATATAAAAGTTCTAATGGTGTTTTCAAGCTCGAAATCACGTATGTGGAAAAAACAAAAAAGAAAATGTATTATTAATTGTTATTGGCCTATATGGTAAATTTATTAACCATCGACCGATGGTGATTTAGCAAGCAGATGCAGCTATGATTCTCCTAGCAGCATCAACCGATGTAATTAGGACGTAATTGCACAACACGGACACTCTGTGATCGATTGCATGAGACTGACTCATATATGCAGCTGGAATAGCAGTTAGTGCAGCCAGCAAACCAAACAGACAAGCGACAACATTTCATTAGTTAACAAAATTAAAATAACATCACAAAAGCATCAAAGTAGAAATACTATGAACTTGCCCATGTAATGTATCTACTGTAACTGCGTAATGGTGAAACTGAAAAAAACATAAAGTACCTTAGTTGGAATCTCAAAGAGATGTAAGTATGATATTTAATAATACCAAATAGAGACAATGTGTTTCGGCAATAATTAACATAGCTCTAATTCCTAACTCAACAATTTAACGACCCTTGACGATTGCTCTACCCCAAACCGAGGAGTTTCCCAAACTAAGTGCTGCATTACGCAATCTTGTGCAACCTAACACCCAATCCTAATTCCGCAGCCACTTTTCCTTTCGCCCACAACACCTCATTAGGTTTAAGGTGTCGCCGAATCGCTTTGGAAAGCTGTTATGAGGGGTGAAACGTAATAAGTGTCCGCAACCCCATAAAACGTTTGGCCGGAACGTGAGAATGCTTGGACAGAAGTCTGCAGCCAAGACGAGCTCACTGTTGAGTGTAAACTGTTAATGTGTACGTCGTAACGTTGGCCCATAACTGGATGTTAATTGGACTTAAAATCTCGTCTTGCAGTTACTACCCCGTGAGAACGACCTTGGTAACATTCCCAGTCTCACCACCAGCGGATTTCCTCCGTAAAACATCTCAGTAAAATCCGACTTGACGACAGCCTCCAAAAGTATCTATTTAGGACAATTAAAATAATTAAATTCTTTGTTTACAGGGATTTAGATGAGATTTCGTGATAATCTTCAATTTTGTATTCCTTTGTGGTTATATACATGGTTTAAATTAAATCCTACGTTCCAGTTGCAATAAAACAACCCATGACTTCGAGCACAAGGCGTGTTTTTAAATACCTTTTTACTTTACAAGTGCATTTTTACCTTAACTTTTGATAAAAAAAAAACTTAAACGTTCATTTGGTGTAGCCAAATGTTATTTAATCGATTGAATGGGTTACTCATGGGATGGGCTATAAGAAAATCACTCTACTTTGATACTTAGAGTCGAAATAAATTAAAAATCTTTGCAGTTTATACAATTCAAGGAAATGCATTAATATACGGAATAATAAGATTATAACACAGACAATAAGGAAAGACGGACGGAAACAGTGTAAATTTGCATACATATTACCTTTGGCTTTAACTATTGATAGAAGCAAACATCCCTTTCAATATTGAGTCTGTGGCACGTTTTATAACTATAGCAATAGAAGATAAACTACTGCACTGAGTGTTGGTCTCAATTACAGTTTTTTCGTGTACACGTACTCTTGTAGCACAACCAAACTAAGAATATTACATCATACTGTAAACTGAAGCATCTTTTATTTCACATGATTGTAACAAAAACTAGGGGAGAAAGTATGATTTTGGTGATACTAGAAATTGTAACAAAAAAGATTCTAGTTTCATGGTGGTATAATATTTTATTGATTTCCTCTTCCAACATTTTCCAAAGAGGCTGAATTTCAATTGTCTGTAACCACATTTTCACGGAACAACCCGAAGTGAAACTGCGCGAAGTGCGAGCCTAATAACCGACGGTTACAACAGATACAAGGAAGGAAGTGGTGGAGATCTGCGCGTTGCACGCTGACCGCTCGCTTTGTAGTGTTTGTTTGCGCAGTCGTGGGCGGAGCGTGGCACTGCGCAGGCGGGAAAGCGTACCTAACATTTACTTGCGCAATGCGACTGATACGGACACTTCGACAATCGCTGTTTACGTTTAACTGACTCCACCTTTCCGTCCCTTGCGCGGTCGTGGAGTAAATAGCTCTCGCTCGTGGCTCTGTAGATGTTGATAGTATTGTAGCACTATTTGTCAAAGCTAAAGTGGTCATGTCATTTATATGGTCCAACTGTAGCTAATATATCTACATCTTCTTAGCTACCCAACCAAGTGGTTATTATGCGTTACCATATTAATCAAACGTGGAAGTTCGTATCTCAAAAAGTAAGAAAGCCTCTATTTTTATGGTTCAAAACTGGACCCATCCAGCTGTCTTTTATCATTGAACTCCAACAAAAGGCCTTGACTAAAAAACCAACTGATCTCCTTATGAAAACATTCATCTCGCACACTCAATACTTCCTCAATTCATTCAGCAGCGGATTAATACGCACTTTGATGTGTCAACGTCATAAAAACCTAATGTAATCTAATAAATCATCTTGTTTAAATTCAACATAGTTCAATTAACTTTTCCCTCATAGCATGCGTTACTATTACAAGACTATATTTTCACCCTTAGTTTTTGATACTACCATGATAATGAGGGGACACAAGATGTGAAAGTTTATTATGAGTAGTCATTTCAGCTTGGCTTGGTTTGGTTGGGTTTATCGACGGAATTCAGTAGTAGAAAACGGTGTTCAGTATCATGTCTCCCCGAGGAAAATATGGGAAAATATTCAACACATACCATTCTGCCATTAAAAATAAAGAGCGACATCGGCAGTTACACTTCTGAGGGTAAATTTTAAGTATTAAAAGTTTCAAACCAATATTGACTGAACGTCTCCTAAACATATTTTTATCGCATTACTTAAACTTTACAAATTACCAAAGGTCATACAAATAAAACAATTTGAAAGTAAAAACCGTGACTAAAACAAAACATAAAATGTGTGTACCGTCCCCGAAAAAAAACATTTACAACAGGACTTTGAAATGCACAACAATCGAAATCAAAATGTCCCCTTTCACAAAGCGATCTACTGACGACCTTTACTGTCAAACAACGGTCCACTCTGGACAAATTAGCTATGGTAAATGCGATAGTTATTGGGCATTACAATTGAATTTCTAAAGGCACAAAGAACAAATCAGCTGTTCGGTATCCGTCGGTCACGATCGTCGCTGGTGGTCCGTCGAGTGGACGACTGTCAGGTCCAAGTTACGACGCTGATAAGGACCACTTCAAACTTGAAACTTAAGGAGGAGTAATGGCCTATACTGAGACAGGGATTATGAAGTTGCCGACAACGCCATCTTGGGACAACTTTGACAACTTAGCCTGACAACACGTTGACGTTATCTCGGTTGTCAAAACTTTATCGGAAGTGCTGGATGATTGGATAAATATTTTTAACCTAGTTTTAATTATTTTAATCTTGCATTAATGGTATGCACTGTAACTTGAACCAACATTTTCAAGGTCGCCACTAGTGTTATCAACACATGCGGGTTCCCTTATCACAGACCCGCATCAAGTTGATACTTCCATGTCCGCTGTCGCCTCCGCCACGGCTACTGGTATAACATATCACCTCACTGCCACCTATACGGGTAATGAATTATGATCTCGAGTATAACAATACCTTATGACATCATAACATTATTACTGTATTGAGAGATTTTAATCAGAAAACTGTACTAGAGATGTAATTTGTTTAATAAAACCATTTTACTATTGATACGCTACAGTGATGTTTAGGTTAGTTCAGTTTGAAATAAAAAAAATAATACTAAGTATAGTTTTTAAGTTTCCAAATATGAGTTTTGAGTAAAAGTAAAAGTATAAGTAAAAGTTAATTGTTTCGGACCCCTCTGAAACAAAAAAGTGTTTTTTTTTGTCACGCCAATTGATCAAAGGCAAATTGCTAATGTCGGTTTTCTCCTGTACCTGTGAATAGGTGAATTAAACAAAACAGTTTTTTTTTTTATTAAATCAACAAGTATGGAGAACTTGTATTTGTGATTTAGGGAGACTACTGAAAATATGCCCTCTAATCTTGAACACATTATTTGTTAACTTAGAAGCCCCATAAATATTCTTGGGTTCACTGCTAAGTGCAGTGGTATGTTGCATGTGAATAATGTAACCCACGGGGTACCGACAGAGGGCCGCCTGTTACGTAAAGAGGGTTTCTAAATATCTCGTAACTTACAAAAACATTTACTGATTAATTGATCAAGGTATCGGTGGACAATGACAAAAAAAGATAAATTAGAACCAACATAAAGTAATTTGGTTATACCAGAGAAAAAATACTGTACAGTGAATCAAAACTTAATCAATCCTAAAAGTTTATTTAGCTTCAGTTCGGGTAAAAATAATCAGGCTCGAGATCTTTGTAGAAGGTCGAGAATCGATCAAAATTCGGTATTTTAGGAGTAATCGAGGGCTCATGAACTTTTCTGGTGAAAGATTGAAATATCTACTGATAATGCAACAAACTAGGAAATAAACTTTAAATATAGTATCAACAGATTGGTGAAAATACAATACTTAAGTCAAAAATGACCTAATAAATAAAGGAATCAGAGAATTTGAGCTTACAGTAGTTTTTACTAGGCCTACTGATAAGTGAAACCGTAATAAAAAATGTGGTTGTCAGTAATCTGGGATAACAACAACTAATGGTCTTTTAAAGAAGTGAACTGCTGATTTTTGTTTAGTCCGAGTGATGTAATTATTTCAAAATTTGAATGAAGTTATTGGGAATAAAGCATAGTAGCGTGATCATAAATTTTGTGGCTACGTACGAATTTAAAACTTAAAGTAAATATATATAATAATTAACTATACTGATAGAAAAACGTCATTTTCGGTAAGTAATGAGCCTTCTGGAGCTAGGTATCTTCTTCAGCCTTCAGGTTAGGAGTTTTGACAAATACAGTAGGCCAAATAAGTATGTTGTACGAAATATTTAAACCACGTATCGGTAAGCTTATTAGCTGAGGGTTAGGTTATTCGGTTATGTATTTTGAGGTTGAGTTAGCGAGGACTTAAGGTGATTGTTGTAGTAATTAGTAGTGTTGCTGTTGGTTGGGTTATTGTGGTTGTTGTTGGATTGGTATATTGACGAGTTTTTAGGTGGAATTAGCGAGGGTATAAGGTGGCCGATGTTTTAATTAGTAGTGTTGCTGTTGGTTGGGTTATTGTGGTTGTTGTTGGATTGGTAGATGGACGAGTTTTGACTTGGTGCTGATGGAGTAAGGTTGGAAAGACCGATGGAGCATCTCGGAGGTGCGGACACTGTTAAGATACTTCAGGTTGAGGATGTCTCTGAGAGATGTTATGGTGAAGCGCTACGGGTATCTCTGTTCATGGTCCGAAGGTGGTCAGCTAACCATAAGG